TTTCTTTTGAATAATCATACTCAGAACTCAATCCATCAGAATTTTTAAAATCTTCCTCAATCACCATGTTTTTTATCCCTCTAATTAACTGAAATGTATTGGTTAATTCGTGCAAAGTATCTATAAGGATAGATACATTCTTCTCTCCACAAATTGAATAAAATCGATCACTTTTTAAAACACATAGGTAGAAACACTTTTGGAATTCAAATGTGAAAATTTTGATATTAGAAAAGAAGATGGGATAATTGAATAACAACGATTTAAAAAAATAGTTTGCTTCGTTGCAATTGCTTGAATTGCCACTCATTCTAAGAAAGTTGCTTAAATATACTTCGAGATTCGCGGTAACAATCTATCCAAATTCCTTTTTACCCAATTTCGACGAAACGTTACAGAGTAAATTTGAATCTTGAAGAGATCTAATCTATGCCACAAGAAAACTAATGTATCCGTGTTCCCATTTTCCTCTTCATTTTTCCTTTTCTTCCTTTCTTTCTTTCTTTCTTTTTTTTTTTTTCGCCAGGCGTGCAAACGTGCCCCTGGAAGAAATGCCGTAACATTTTATGGTGCATAAAACGGTGACTTTATGCTAACACAATTCACGGTCTCAAGTGGGTCTTTTATTAATCTACGTCATACCATTTTACGATTATCACACAACTATCTAACTTGCACCGTCGTCGAATTTAAGTAGAGGCTTAGAAACTCGTTAAAATCGTTTGCTATATGACAAAAATTAATGTTCATTTCGTAATCTATCTACAACAGTGCACTAAGGCTTGCACTTTATCTCTATTTAATTTTTAATCGTCCCCATTGATTCCATTTACTCCGCTACTCGAATTCGTAATAATTCAAGTTCATCATTATTAAGTTATTTGTCTTCTCATATCTTTTCATATTGATATTCACCCCTATTAACTTCTCTCTATACTCATTCCAAATTACTCTGCCCTGATAAGGGAAAAAAAGCTGATAATGAGAAAAATCGATTATGCTATCCAGCCTTTCTATTATCTTCGTTTCGTGGTAAGTGTGTCTATGGAACAACGAAGCCGCAATTCTTCGCAACAAATAACGTCAATCAGAACCATACAGATCTGTCAAATTAAACGGTTAATTAAATAATGAAATCGGCCATATTTTTCGCGAAAAATCCCATTCGAGGATCCTAATTGACGTATTAAGTTCCATCGGTTAATTGGAGACGGTGGAATTCTACGTTCCAGATTGCAGGAGGCGAAAGTTACTCTCGATATGGCCTCGAGACCTGGTGGGTATATCGTGCAAATATTAATAGTTATGACGTACCGCGTGTTTACTGGTGGATACTTTTCTACCGCATACCAATCAACTATGCGTGCACAGTGCGAATTACATCGTGAGAGAGGTGCAGTATCCCCGTGTAATTTTTCTCATTACCGATAAAATTTACTGGAAATATAATCTTCACGAATTATTGACTGCAGTCAGCGAGAAAAATTTTTTCCCGTGGCGGTTATACGTTAAATAATCGATAGAGAGCTTCTTTATGAACAGAGGAAGAGAATAAAGAAGGATTTAATAATCGTTCTCGAACGATGATTATAAAATATAGGGGGATGATCGGATGATTTAAACTCTTTTAAAACCTATGAAATAAAGAAGGAGGGATTTTATTATATTATATTTATTTTATTTTTTTTTTTTTTTTAAATTTTTAAAAAAATTTTAAAGTAAGATGGTCGATAAAAGATTGAGAGAAGGAGAATTTAATAGGAAGAAAGAAAAGAAAAAAAAAAAAAAAGGAATTATTTGTCGGTTGTTAATTATCGTATCTTCGTGAGTCGTGTTGATCGTAAAAGAATATGTACTACTTTCAAAATGTCATATAAGTATTAAATATTACAAACACGGTTAATACTTCGAGGAAATATGTATGTTTACGTGCACAGTCTATAAATCTAGCAAATTCTTACTGCATAAATAATAACCAAATAGAAATATCAAACCACAGTTATTTATTATGTCGTTCAACACGCACGTATCGTTGCTACGTACGCAACAGATAATATTTACGACAAAGTTATCGAGAAATGGAGGGGGTAGGGGGAAAAAAAAAATAAATAAATAAATTTTCAACATTTTGCAAAAGAATTATCGTTCAAAGACTAAGGAATCGTAAATATATCGTATACCATAAAATGTTTGCAACTACGTCGAATACGTGTGTGCAACAAAGTTTATCTCGCGCGAGTTATCGTTGCCTTGGCGTTACGCCCTCGTGTTCGGGTTCATCGAATACCGCCTTAATGAAAAGATATATGTACCATAAATTCTCGCATGCGTTTCAATTCCCTTTCTTTATGCGCTCCGCTATTTCGTTCGTTACAATTTAAGCGTTGCACGCGAAGCCAAGAAAAGCCACGAAATCATGCACCGTTGAACCCTTCGATTCCCTCTCCAAGGGAATGTATATCGTCGCTGGGTGGATCGTAAAATATGGGTGAAGAATCTCCCCGGCGGAAAGGAAATTCGAAATTCTTGGTTGTTGCTTGGAAGCAGCACGAAATGATACGTTAAATTAATGAAATGGTCCAGAAGTTGCAGCATCCTCCGCTAAGGGAGTGGAGAGAGATCCAGGAGGAATGAATCCAGTTATACCGGACCAGGGAAGATATATCGAATGGATTTAATTGGATCAGTGGATTTACGCTGATTAAATTGTCGACGGTGGAAAAATTTGCGTTGCGTTATTAATTATAATAAAATATATTTTTGTATCGTGTTGTAATAACGATTCGATGGAAATTTCTGCGTGAACGTGAAAATGTAAAATTTTTCACAAATACGATCGCCTCCTTCGAACTCAAATGAACGAGTTGAGAGATCTAGCGACGATCATCGATCATCGTTATTAACAATATAACATAACGGATGTATCGCTGAAAAGAACAATATTTGCGATTACAGTTGCATCACGGCACGATTATTACCCCCAGCTTTGTCATAACGCGATAATTACAGCGCGGCATAACAATGCTCGCGTTATTCCCCGCTACTCGACCAATTACGAACGTGTTCTATTTTTTTGTTTTGTTTGAATGTATCATCCACCTTGACACACACACACTCATTTTCCAGAAACTCTATAATCTCTATAATAATGTCTCGAATCATTTGAACGGAAAAATATTTCTTTTTATTTCTTCCATCCTTCCGAGGGAGGGCAATTCCCAACGCGTGTAATCCACACGTGTCTGACTATATACGGGCACATTCCACTGATCGAAAGAGAGAGAGAGAGAGAGAGTGAGAGAATTCGCGTTCTTTTTTACTACGTACACATTCGTATTATACGGACACTTCCTGAGATTATTATCGAGTATCGTTTAGGAGAAGATACAACGTGGAACACACGTTGTACGGTAACGTCCATCACGAATCATAGATTATTCTCTCTCCCTTCGAAGGGAAAATGACAAAGGTATCGGGATGCTTGATTTCGCTGCCGGCGGAATCACGCTGATGGCCAACACACGCGAACAACGACGTTGCCCCGAGACTCAACGATAGACACGCTCCTCGTCACGATTCGCGTGATCACGTGTGTACGCTATTCTCTTCGTGCCTCCGCAGAGATGCACTGATGGGCATAAAACGTCTAGAACTATCAGAATTCTCGGGAAAAAATTTTACCTTAACGAGTCGGAGCATTTGGAGAGGTTGGAGAAATTCCATAGAAAAAAATTTTTGTTTCGTGAATCAAGTCTTTCTTCTTTTCTTTTTTTTCAAACTTTGATATTTTTTAAGATACGTTTTAAGACTCTCTCTCTCTCTCTCGATTAAATTGTGAATAAAGTTGAACAAATTTCTTAGGATCTCTTCCTTTTTGTCTAATTATATTTAAATATTCGATCCATTAACGTGGAATATTTCAATTCTGCGGATAAGATGCACGGATAATAATACGTGCATAAATAAAGAAGAAATAAAAATTTAGATCCTTTGTTATGGAAATAGTATTTAAAAATATTATTACTTTCGATCGTCTCTTAGGTAATCTTTTCTTATTAAGATGCACAAAAGAAATGAATAATTCAACGATTCTTTCTCCTCCTCCTAAACATTTCAAAATTGCAATTGAGAGAATACTACTGCCAATATCCATCAATTTAAATTCTAATTACGTTAGCGAGCTTTTAAACTCTACCAGTCTTCCACCAAAAATATTATATCAACATCGAGGGAAACAGAGACGCGAAAAATTCTAAAACAACGATTCGATCCGGCACAAAATTTCATAACGCGAAACCAGAGGAATCGAAAGGAAAACGTGTTTGTACCCTAGACTGGCTACGTAGCCGCCTCTCAACACGTGTGTCGATGCGTTCGTGTGTGCGTTCGCCCGAGGAGCGGTGGCTAGGTCACGGTCAGGGCGATGCCCTCTTGCTTCGGAAGAGAGGAGAGAGAGGAGAGACTTTGCGTCGGCTCTCCTCCTCCTCCTCCTCCTCCTCCTCCCCCTTCTTTCTTTTCCTCCGTTGGATCATGCTGAAAGTCTCCACTCGGATGATCCACGCATCCGTTCGAGCGTATCTTTCGCCGCGCGGGCTATCCGCTTCGGTTAGGTCGGCCCTTTTTGTGAATCGAGGCGCCGTTTTTAGACGCGTTGCACGACCAAAGCGTGGTGTGCACGCTCCGCGTACACGATCGTGTTATTTACGTGACAGCCACCGCGTGTATTTATCCGCCTCGTTGGAAATCGATTTTTGACTCTTGGAAAAGGCAGGGGTGGTTTTTACGACTCGTTTCGTATTTTGCTTGATTGATTTAAAGGCCCAAGTTGCGTAATTACATAGTCGTGATTTAGTTTTAAAATTAATTGATCCTGTATTTAATCGTATGATATAATTGAAAACGATATATATATATTTTTAATTTCCTCTCTCTTTCTCCTAAAATTGTGTTAACGATATAAATGATTTTTAAAAAATCGATGTGTGTTTATTGTTACTTACTGGACGGATTGATTTTTGAGATGACGCTTTTTGTTTCGAGTATACGACAATCTGACTCACCTGAAACATAAAATAACAAAGAAATATTAGTATCGATAGGATAGGAAGAACTTCAATTTTTTTTTTTATATTCTTCAACATCAAACTCTTTGATTTTATCCTTCGAAAAAAAAAAAAGAAATTCACATTCCTAAAATATTTATTACTATGTATAAAACCCATTATTACGCGTATAGAAATATATCAAAGCGCATTCGATGGTAAACAAATTAACCACGGCTCAAAATACAGTTTGTTTCCGGCGGCCACGCATAAATCGCCTCGTCCATCAATTCCTCCGTGCGCTGAACTATTGCGTTACGCGCCGGGATTCGTCCACGCGCCGCGTTGTCTCGCGTTGTAATTTATCGGCCAGCCTGGTCCGCTCGGGTTTCCTAGCGATCCTTGTCGAGAGCCGCGATGGAAACCATCGATAACAGAGAGAGAGAGAGAGAGAGAGAGAGAGAGAGAGAGAGAGAGAGAGAGAGAGAGAGGCCCGTCACACCCTCGCAGAAAGATCATCGCGGAAGTCCTCGCGGGATCGCCGAGTGATCGACTTTATTCCAAGCCGCCCACGTGTACTCGTAAATATAATTTCTCGCTAATCATGCACGCCACGGAACGCCGGCTATTAACCACCCAGGGCGAGGCAGAGCGAGTCGAGAGCTTTCTAAGCGGCTCCACCGTATCAAAGGGTTCGTTTCATCGAATCCGCATATCCGGATCGACTGCGCGCGGAGATCGTACAATTCGAACGTTCCGTTGATTCTTTCCACGATTCGACTGGAAAGGAACGCGAGATACAGTGTCCATTGTTCTCTATTTGCCTCGAATTATTGTACATTAAAGGGGAGAGGAGAAAATTTTCTTTCTAATTTGATCTTGCTTCGAACAATTTCTCGAAAGGATGAAAATTAAGAAAAAGATGATGAGAATTTTCTTGCACTGATTTCTCTTATTTCGTTTATTTTTCCATCCATTTAATAATTCTTCCCTCAAAAGAATATACTCGATAGTTGCTCGAACCCATTCCTCTGATCAATTCAACTTTTGCAACGATTCCAAGGATCTATCTATCCGTATCGCGCACGGTTGCTCTTATTCACGGGTACATATCGTCCGTGAGACGTCAGCGTATCAGCGTATGCGATCGCGAAACCAGACTGCGGGGGAAGCCCCTGAGCTGCGCTCTCGCGTATAATGCAGTTATCGCAGCGGCGCGGCGGGCCACTTTAATTGCATCGCGAGAAAGTGGGGCATCTCGAATCACCGATCTCTTCCTGCCCTCCCCCCTCTCTTTCTCTCTCTCTCCCTCTCTCTTTCTCTTTGTCTCTCATCCAAAGCGACTCTCGATGCATATGTACATGCACATACCCTCCACCCTTCTCTCTCACGATTAAAGGCGTATATACGGGCGAACATTCTTACATGTGTACTTCCAACGTGTTCATCCAATGAGAGCACAGTAGCAAGATTTTTAAGTAAATTATGAAGACACTGTTCCTCTTCTTCGCTCGTGATCAAAGGTACACGCGTGCAAATATAGTTATGTATATAAATATATATATATAAAATTACATATATACGGTTATGTATTCTCGGGCATAAATCGTAGCGACGATTTATTATCGTCATACCCGTGAGAATCGTTCCGTGCATCGTTCGGCTCGATTATCGTCACTTTCTCCGCGACGTAACTCAAATTCTCCATGGGCATACACGAGCGTTTCGCTCGAGCCCGTTTATTTTTCGCCGCGTGACGAAATTCTTGGACGTTTCCAGCGAAACTTGCCGCGCGAGTTATGGATATCGGGAGCGATTCTTTAAATCGGAGGTGTTAAAGGTTGATAAACGGTGTATACGTGTTGTTTTTCTTGTTAACGCAACGTGTCAATAGATATCGCTCGTGCAACGCCGCGGGTAATTCAATGGCGGGAAGGAAATAGAAAAAATTCGGAAACTTGTTATTTGACGGCACGTGTTTTGAATTTATATTTACACGATGTGGAAGATCGTAATATATTGTGACCGGTGGGTGAATATTTTATTTATTATCCGTCCGATAAAACAAGCTATTAGCTCTCGTTTTTGTTTTATCTTATCACCAGAGCCACCGTATTACGTATCCCCTTCACCTAGCGATTTCAACCAGCGCTGCATTTTAAAAAATTCAAAGTGGCGAAACCACAATAAAATAAACAGATTGGAAAATTTTTTTTTTAACGCGTTTCCATTGCAAAATTTTGTTTTGTAACGTTATATAATTAATCTAATCCTCGTTCTTATGAAATTCTTGACCTTTCGAGAAATTTTTATAACACCTCCGATGATACGAATTGCAATTACAAAATGTAATATGCGTCTTCGTTTAACCCCGATCGAATATTATTCTGTAATCTTTGCACAATTACATTATTCTCCAAATAAATTGCCATTCAATTTCCGTGAGAAATGCATCGCGTCACCTTAATAAACTTAAAAATCGTTTCGCGATTCGAACCACTTTCTCCACTCGGCGCAATTCCATTGTTGTCCAAGATGGAAGAACGCGAGTGTCAGCGGCCGATAATCGATCGTGTCCACTTCAACGCTGATTACGTAAACACCCCCGTTAAACCACTCTCAACCACTTCAAAAATACACCAACTCGCTCGATATTTCCAACTTCCTCCTCGAAAACTCGCTGGAAAAAACGATAATTCCGCATGAGCGAGAAGCGCATCAGAGAGAGAGAGAGAGAGAGAGGTTTGCAAACGATTGCGAAGATTTCGCGATTCGAGCCACTTTCACCACGACGTAATTTGGATTCCTCGCACGTTCGAATAGCCGGCGCGCGCCATCGGAAATGATTAAAATCCGCGTGAAATCGCGGTGAACGAAAGGGCAAAACGCGTCCAAAAAATGAATTTTACATTACTCCAGGGGTATTATATACCCTCGTTGAACGCGGTCAAGATTGTTTAGAAAGCTGGCTTCTAAAGAAGAGAAATGTTAAAAGTTCCTCGTTGCCTTGCTCCTCTAAATAAGAAGGTTAAGGTTAAAGGTTGGTTAACCGAGTGCTCCCGAGGTATACATATATATATATATATATACGTATGTATCTGTTGCTTATCCGTGCCTTCTTGAAACGTAGTTAAGAGATCGTGACACTCGTTAATTAAAATGACTCGAAACGTAATTTTACTTTCTATCCACTTATCGAGCCTCGTCAATTACGAGAACAAAAAAGATTCGAGATATACGCATTCCAATCCCATAGAATTATTCGCGAAATTACTTGGAGAGAACGAATTTTAACAAAAATTGTTCCAGCCACGTTCCAGCCACGGCTGTTTCATAAATACATTGAGCATTGAATCGATTGTTAGTCGAATCTGTTTCGAAAAAAAAATGGCTTGGATTAAATTCGTTACACGAGAACAATTTAACAGAAATTATAAATTAGGATAAAACGCGTGTATAATACACCGCTTATACGTTTCCAGTTCTCCAAATTGATTTTCCTGCTCGATATTAAATTGTTTCTCATTATCCAATCCAATATTTCACGGTGGAAACGCATAGGAAAGAGGCCGGTTTCTGACTCCGTTTTAACGACTGTGTCCCGGCTACCGGAAACTCGAACAAATTCGTACATTGGACGCGCGTCTAGGATGAATACTTGTTGGCGCATCGACACGCGGCAACCCGCAGCTTTACGACGAACAATAATCGTAAAAATGCGAGGCTCGTAAAACTTGCTAGATTTACGATCATAATTCGCCTCGCGTTACGATGATTCCTCCGGATTATTGTGCGTGCTCGTTCTTCCGAGTTATTTCGGTTCGCGGCGATGACTCGGAACCATCGCCGTGGACCTCTTGTTGCGAGATCGATGGGGACGAAAATACACACAATAATAATATTGCATAATAAGGCTCATTTGTCGGAAAAATATCGACATGAAAAAATAAATCTCGTATCCGTAAATTTTATATCGATATATTAAATTGAACGTTAGTTTTCTTTCGATCGTTTCTTCGAAGCGATAAATTTTTTTAGAGCAAAAAATCTTATATCAATACAAAGATAGGAAGATACGCGATTGTTTCAATAGATATATAAACAATGTATAACAAATGGAAAAAAAAAACTAAAAGAAAATAAATTAGATGCAAATTTGTACAATTTATATATATATATTTCGATTTGTCAAGATGGGGAGGGGAGGAAAGACAAACGATAATGGACGGAAACGATGTCAAAGTAATCGAGTAAATTTCATCGGTCATCAAACACGATCCGTGTTAAAAAAATATTAAAAATAATGTCCTTTGTTAAACACGAGAGAATATATACGAAGACACCATAGGAGAGGCGATTTAAATAATTAAATTTAATCAAAGAGAAAACGTTCATTCTCCTCGTTCTTTTGTATCATATAATGGGAATCCTATTGAGCTTAATAATTTCATTATCCTCGGCACAATGAATCGGCTTGGAACGATGCATCAAAGATCCTATTAAAATTCCAGTGCACCCGACGACTCGACAACAGTGCAACAGAGTATCGCATAGATTGTCGCGATCCTATCCTCGTTTTATAACTTATTTGCGACGCCAGGAGGATCTTTACACGACCCACGTTATAAAATAGTCGGCGAGGGAAAGGGAATATAAATCGCGCCGATCGAGTGAAATTCCTCTGGATAAATAAGCGATAAATATGATCGACGAAGTGTTAAATGTTTCTTTTTTTCTTTCTTTTTTTTTTTTTTTTTTGCTTTCTTCCTTTCGTTCCAGCTACGCAAAATAAATCAAATCGGATAAAGAATATCGATGAACGGATGATAAGATCTCGTTGTTTCGCATGATCAACGAAACAGTGTCGTCGATCTACCTTTAATGGCTCGTTCTCACGGATGTTGGGAATATTAATGATCCACTTAACCCGACAATAATACGTTTATACCACGTGATTTATAATGGAAAGATTTAGAAGAACTTCTCAGAGTAGCTTCTCTCATTGAACGGTTGAGGAT